GATTCACTTCAGTAGATGTGAAATAATGGAAGATGTGATGTGATGGTAACAATTCAAAAATAAGCAGAAGTGCACATCCATTAGTAACTGTGGCTTACATGGACGTATAACAGCTTTAAATGGCATTGGCTCTTTTTATAAAAACCTTCGGCCGCTCCTTCAAAGGCAGTGCATCAATTTAATGTAGGATAATACCGATGAGGAGAGGTCTGGTATTAATAAATAAACATCGAACAGAGCAGTTTCATTTGTACATCACTTAACGCATTGCAAAATAAACTCGGCAATTGCAAATAAACTTGGTTGAGTTCAATGTCCTCACTTTGTTCGAGAAAATCCAGTGTCCGTATCTTTTTTTTTAAACTTTTAAGTTTAGAAAATGACTATTAAATCACAATTTTCAAATGATGAATTATCTGTTTTAGGTGTAAACCAGACCACGGTGCCCAACATTTTAACAGTTGCTGCCTGCGCCGCGCCAAGACTAAATTACATCCACTTAAGTCTTGAATGGGAGGTACCAACGGACTGCATAATAACATTACGTAGATAAAACACCATTTAACGTGGAGCCTCTTTCCTCGGGGAATGTTGATGTTATATATGTATATATATTGGCTTCCTGGATACTGGATTCCCAAATGTGCAGTCACCCAGGGGCCGCTAACGTTAATGTGCTTGCCAAGAAACACTCTCTGGCAATCAATAAAAACAATATGTGAGCAGCTGCACACTGCGTATAGAACGTGTCCAGGACTGCTACGGCTGCCGATATCTCCCATACCCCTACTGTAAGTACCTGTGCCTAGTAGTTTACTGCAGGACACAAGGCCCGTGCTTACTTCAGTATGTGGTGCAGTTGACTGATATTCTTTTACTGGCTGTGGAGAGCCTGCTAGTCTCTCTCGAACATTAAGCCAAATCTCGTTTATGTTACTTCCAGCAAGAAGAAAGTGCAGCTTCAACACTGGAATAGACGTGTATTATCCATTTAACGGATACAACGAAAGGGAAACTATAGAAGAGAATGTCTGAACAGGACAAATACAGTGACGTTGAAAGTGCTTGGTTGACATGTAAAAATAATCACATTGGAGATACGGTGACAATCAACATAGCAGGCACACAATTCCGAACGCTGATCACCACTTTAAACGAACTGCCTCTTACAAGACTAGGGAAACTCTCCGCGGATTTCACGTACAGTGCACAGTCTGTGCCGAATGAAATATATTTCGATCGGGATTCCATGTACTTTCAGCCCATTCTGAATTTTTACAGAACAAATATCTTACATTTTCCACATGATTTGTGTGTTCCATTGATACGACTGGAACTGAAATTCTGGGGGATATCAGAATGTGATTTGGCGCCATGTTGCCATGAAATTTTGGAGAACTTCGACATTCTCGAGAAGGAAAAAAGAGAATTAGAGAAAGAGTTCAATTTCTTCAAAACCACCAAGACAACGCATTACGAAGGAGGCTGTGAGTCTTGGAAACAACGAGTGTGGTCATTTCTTAGTGATCCCACTTCATCTAGAGGGGCCAAGGTAACGACTGACTTCTTGATTACTTTAATACATGATGTTTGATATGATCCCTCTTCATCTCGAGGGGCCAAGGTAACGACTGGCATCTTAGTTACTCTAATACATGATGTCTGATATGATGGACTCGGGACATCTTTTCTTTGGTTATACATGTATCACCGGTTTCGTAGCAGTTGTGTATATTTCAGGTTATAGAAGTTGTGCTGCTGTTGTAAGGGCAGATACTCCTTAATTTATTGTGATCAAATTTCTCTGTGATAACCTAGTATTACCTCCGTCAGGCTGGTTCTGTTTTTATTGCACTTGTCTGATCATCTGTTTGTCAGTATTTATGTCTGTCTGTTTTCAACACGTATGGACGAATTTTAATAAAAGTTTAGGATAGGTCAGAAATGGATTAGATCTTTGTCGTGATCCATGAATGAATTATTCATTTTATTCATTGATTTATTTATGAGAATTTATGAGAATCTGAGAATTGAGTTCATTATTAGTTGATAATAATGATGAGAATCGAATTATCAACAAACTTACTATAAATAAGAAGAAAAATCGAGCTTCCTTGGCGGAGGTCTGAGTTCTCTGAGTGCTTTCCTAGATGTTATTATAGTTGTATTTGTTGTTGTTGTTTTGACATCATTTCCCATCCCATCTCTCCAAAACAACCGCCACCAAGAAAGATCACAAAAAGAAATGTCACGTTTTGTATGTTATTCTTTTGTTTTACTTAAAAGAATGATACACATATGTATGTATATACATGTGCGCTATTGCTTAAGCGGTTGTCACACCTTTAAAACAGCTTTTTCCAATTTAAGGAGATTCTCTCTCATTTACCAAACACTATTTTGAAAACAAATGTAACCCCAAATCAAATCACCATTTGAGTAAAATATATAATGAGATTTCTGGTAATAAAGGAGGGGTGGGGGAGGAGGGTGAATATGTGTAATAAAGAATTGAACTTTGTTAGGTCATGTTGAGAAACATAAAAAAGCATAGAACGGGTACACGTATGCCTGTGTTTGTCGTTTCTTTTGCTTGTCCTACATATACTGAGCAGGTTTCCATATTTAAAATGTGTTGAAAAAAATCTTTTTTTTCAGGCATGGACGACATTCTACCTTCTACTTTTGTTTACTTCTATCTGGACCGTTGCGCTGGATAGTATCGAGGGATATCGCGTTGAACGCCCAGTGAACACATCTTTGTTGAAAGACAAATTACAGTTCAGCGATCACCAAATGCTCTACTTGCAGAAAGGTTCTCATCCGTTTTTAATCTACGCAGATATCGTCGTCACATCTTTATTTACGTTGGAATTATTGGTAAAAATTTGCGTGACACCAGATATGCGTGGATTCCTTAAAAACGTGTTCACAATTATTGATTTGCTGTGGGCAGTTCTCCACTGGTGCTGGTTTACCATGTATATGACAATCATCGACACGGTAGTAAATCTAGGATCCGTGGTTCCAGTATTTCTCTTGGCCTTTTTGGGAATGATGTCACTAAGTCTGCGCGTGCTCCGATTGTCACGTATCGTCTGCTACTCTAGCGGCCTCCAGGTCATGATCTTGACGCTGAAGGCAAGTGGCAAAGAAATCGGACTCCTAATTCTGCTTCTTTTGATGGGCTCTATGGTATTTGGGCCGCTTATTTTTTATGCAGAAATGTCAGTTTCGTCGCCCAACATAGAAAATATTCCCGTTGGCTTCTGGTGGGCAGTAGTTACCATGACAACCGTTGGCTACGGTGATATGTATCCAACCGCAGTAGGAGGATATGTAGTTGGTGGTGTGTGTGTAGTGCTGGGCATGGTCTTCACTGGGCTGCCTATATCCGTTATAAGTGCCAATTTCACCAAATACCAGGCGTTTGCAAGGTCGATAAAGAGCCAGGAGAGGAAGGGGAAGACCGGTGAAACGGGAATGGAAGTCCGCTAAGAACCGTAGTCCGCTTCCCATTACATTGTACAGGTTCGTCCTATATACTAACCCACAGCGCCGATGATTAATTACAGCTTTGGAAGTAACTGGCTAGCGCTGCCAGTAATTACGCCGTGGGGTATTCAGGGCACAGACCGTGATCACAAGATACCGAAAATAGATTTTTAGATTTTTAGAAAATAGAGTTTCCATGTGAACAGTCCCTAAATTCACTTGCTGTCAGCTACAGATAATTTCAAGTAGCTATTTTCAAGTAATTACTTTCGGGCAGTTTCCTCCAGAGTTTCAAGACAATTACCTGCAAGATTTTAATTGTACTTTTCAATTGAGAATCGTATTGGCAGTGCGATGACTGAATGAGAAATAATATAATTTTTGGAACAACAAGTGGACTTCTTTCTTAATACCGGTATATCATCTTATCACCGGGATAAGGAGACGAATACATCCAGAAAAATATCCCAGCAATAACCCGCTTGATATAAGGATATTTTTTTCCTTAAAATTAATATGAAATAAGATTTATCATTGCTTACGTTGACATGTTATGGTTCCTAATGTCCAACGTGCTTATAAAAAAGTCAATTCTATACCTCCACGATACCTGGAAAATTGTCTGATGAAGCGAGGTAGGCTCAGAGTAGCTTTTCGTACCGCCTGCAATACGCATATGGGCACAGGCTGGAAGAAGAGTATGGATTAGGTAAAAATAAAATGTTTTCACTTTATAAAGATCAACATTTTTGCCTTGTACATGTAGCCCGTTATGTCATCCTTCTATTGTTATTATTTTATTATTCTTTAAAAAGATTGTGAACATGATTTCGACACTCTGGGAGATTAAGAAAAATTACATTCTGCAAAGTAAGAATGACAGACCATAACTACTAAGTACATTATTCTCTCCGGAACAGGACATTATTGGGGGCATTTCACTGTAACAATCGCAAAAAATCTCTCTCGAATTTTGCAAGATCTGACTTCCGGGATATTGCAGGCGTCAGCGTGGAAATTTACTTGATCATAGGGTATCGGTACAAGTAAAGGCGGTACGAACAGCTACTGAGAGCCTGCTCCCGCTTCACTTTTCCAGACACGAGACCTAAATTAATGAACACACCTTGGTTGGTTTTCTATCCTTTGTCGATCTGAATAAGCCATTAGACCAATTAGACGTAAAGAGAGTTCTGTGCGTCTAATTGTCCCAATGATGGCAGGCTCCAGGCTCAGGAGAAGAATTAGTCAGACTGCAGCGAACCAACACTTCATGAAGAACAGGCTGTCTGTCGTGAATTTTCTAATGTTTGTTTTAAAAGAGCATTTTTGTCAGAAATCAATTTTAAGAATAAATAGTTTTCTGTCTGATTTTTGTTACCATTATTCTGTTTGAATACAATGTGAAATTATACGCGTTGCTTCTCTTACGTTGTAGTCATGAAACACCATTGTGAAAGGTAGCTTGCGTTTGTATAAAAACGTAGAAGAAACCCATATTCATCAGCTTTGCGCAGTGGCGGTACCATAGCCAATGAGATTTATCCGAGGCGTGGTTATTGCTAGTTGAAAACTATACCCAATACCCCGTGCTGACGTCGTGAAATACCGACGGTAGCACAATTTTTGAACGCCTCTACGGGGGCTTACAGCAACTTCAATCAATATCCTTTTTACCCCTTCTCTACTGAAGTAAATTTATCAAATATTATTTGTTCTCTAAACCGTTATTATTGCTATATTCGATCTCCCAACACTCGATTCCAACGTGTTAAAACGAAGATATAAGCAGCGCAAAACATTGTTTTGAACATGTTTAAAGCATTTTATTTCTCCCTGAGTGCATGTATGCCAATATACACTGACGCTTCTACATTGAGGGTGTATAAGGACCAGAGTATATACATGTCCGTTTATTCCTTTATATCTGTCAGTAATGGGGAAATATCACATAGTGCGATTAAGCCAGTGATATGTGTGTGTGTGTGTGTGTGTGTGTGTGTGTGTGTGTGTGCGTGATGTAAGCAACATGGTTTTGTGTATATCTATCTAAAACTATTATTATCAATTTAGCAAATTGTATAATGCTCTTTTCTACTTTTGTTAATATTAATTAAGTGAACACGTTAACTCTGAGTTTGCCTCTTTTGTGTGAATTTGTATTTTGTGTACATATATATATATATATATATATATATATATATATATATATATATATATATATATATATATATATATATATTTATTTGTGGAATAATAAGATAAATTGACGAGATTTGATTATGTTATCTGATATATTGTTATCAAAGCGCAATAAAGATGATAAGATGCAAATAATAATACAGCACCAAATGGAAAAATAGGCTCTACATCACACACACACACACACGCGCGCGCGTGCACGTACGTGCGAACGCTCACACACACACAAGCACAAACCCTGGTTCAATTCTCAAGCATACATACTCAAGCATATTAACACAAACACGCCGCCCGCACACACAAAAATCCTTCTTAATTATAACTGCTTGCTGCCCAAGTAGGGTGAGAGCTTGCACACACAGTGAAATAAGTACTTTAAAAAAACCGCGGAAGAACAGTATGTAAAATGGAGGATCCATTGGCATTTTTTTGTAGTTTGCAGGTGAAAATTTTCATGAAAAGATAAGAAAATTAAAAATGTGCACATAATGTTTACCCTCCATTATGCATACTACAAGATCATAGTCATTTACTCAAATTAAATGAGGTTAATGAATGTTTTTTTTTTGGGGGGGGGGAGTCAAAATTTCATAGGGGGAGTCACATTTTCATAATGAAAATCTGACTGGGGAGTCACTTTTTAGGGGAGTCAGATTTCCATGGTACACCGGTGATAGTCCAGAGAGAGGGAGAGAGGGAGAGAGGGAGAGGGAGGGGGGGGAAGGCATACAGGTACAAATCTAAACCTTTTAAATTTATCAAAGTTAGCAGATGGCATATTTAATAAAAAATCAAATCAAAGGTACACAATTCATAATCTCTAATAAGAGACAAATATTTATTCCTCCTGGTATGTACATTCCATTTACATGTATATTACAATGTGCTATAAATTCCAATGAACCATTTGTTAAGTTATCCTACCAATCCCCCC